AGTTCGTCGATCCAATAAACGGGAGTGGTGCATCTCGCGCAAGACAAATGCGCGCTGCAGACTCCTCGTCACGATCACGAGTTGAAAAGGACATTCATAGATACATAAAATGGTATAGTCTTGTCGTATTTGAAACTGCAGTGCTCGTCCTTTCTCTCTTTATCTTTCTCTTTCTCTTCTCGCGCATCGATGGCGCGGGCGCAAGTCGAAGGTCGTGTCTCCGAATGCACTTCGAACCGAAGAAAGTGAGTGAGAGAGAAAGAAAGAGAGAGAGAGAGAGAAAGAGAGAGAGAGAGAGAGAGAGAGAGAGAGAGAGAGAGAGAAGTGAGTTCACTCATGAAACTGTCCCAGCTGAATAACTCAAATAAAATGGGAAGAACTTCCATCCGTCATGAACGGCGAAAAACACACCAGAAGAAAACGCGATGCGCTTGAATGTTGAAATGCCCACTTTTGAAGTGGAAGCGCGACTCGCTCGAATGCTATGTCTCTTCCTCGAACTTGCACCGAAATACGACCGCGTATCGTCGGAACGAGTGCATCAATTCTCAAACCGGCATACGTGTATTCATATCCACGTGATTTTCTTCCGTTGTTCGTATACCGAATACATAAAATGCGACATTGTACCAGTAGCTATTTGGATTGCAATATTATGCTAGCACGATAAGATGTCAAGCTGTTCAAGAAAAATTGCGATTTGTCTGTTTACAACAAAGTACAGATTTTATAACAGCGTGGCATTTATATATGCGCTGTAATAATAAAAATTTTTAACTTTTCTGTGGCTCAAATCTCTTCTATATTTACACACTTATTCGAGTGCGCAATTTATCAAATTTGCACATATTCGTGCAAAAATAAAAAAATTTGAATAATCAAACTTCGGTTTTTTTGTAAATATTTATCTTTGCGCATACAATCTGTTGCAAAACTACGTGAGAGAATCTTCTTCATTGTTGACAAGTCAACAATCAACTGCGATAGCGATAAATTGCCGCATTTACATTACAATAATGAGAATTACCTACTCGCGAGAACTGAATGAAACATCATGGATAGCGAGTCGCGATCAAGTGGCGGTAGGTGTACGTGGCGCGCAACACAAAGCTATATCACACGTCTAAATTAGAGCTTGCAACGCAATCATTCATGCGTGTCGGCGGCGCCGCGGGACGAGATTCCACCACGTGCGTTCGGTCAAGTAATTTAATAATAATTATTCCGTCGCGGTAGTGACCGAGGAGGAGGAGGAGATCAAGCGCAAAGCTCGACCCATCGCCACCGTCGACCGACTCATAAATCACCCGGATGGCGGCTTTAGTCGCTGATCGCGATTTAACCGGCAGTGCCGGTAAAATGCTAACCGCCGCTCAAAACCGGTAAAAGGCGTCGCGTTTATTACAACTAAATCGTTAACAAAGATGGATAAATCATCGGTCGGGACGGTTGGATCGTTATTCTCGCTCTACTAACGATGTACATAACAAACATAAACGAGCTCAAATGTAAAGAAATGTCAAATCTAATCGGCTGAAAGCATCTCCAACAGTAATATAGCAAGCTTCGTAAATCACGTTTTAATGTTACGGAAAGATCGACAGAACCAAAGTTAAATAACGCCTTTTGAAGTCGCCCGATATCGCGGAAAAATCACCGGAGATCCGCAATTTTTACTCGACGCGAAACGCCCGGGTACTTTTCTAACCGAGTGAGACGAGACAAAGAAAAATCTTCACAGAAACGATACAAGTTCCAAGTTGAAGCGAACGCGATTATATCGATCGTCATTGTACGGACACAAAGGGTTCGGTGAGCGGAAGCGTGTGAGTGTGTATAATGTGTATTATCAAAGTACACTGAGTGCGTCGGCAAATCCGCCGTAATAGAAGAACGTAATAGAGCGGCGAATATTCCACAGCATGCCGAGAGAGAGCGGACGGGAAGATTTCTCTTAATTAAATTGACGTAAATAACGTGATATCGCGCGAACGAGTGCGCGGTGTTAATTGAAAGTGTAAATTTAATGTTTGCCGAACTTCAAATAATCGCTCTCGCGCTATTACCGCGTGTATTTGAAGACACATCACTCTTTTACGGCAAGTAATATATTTTCATTCATAAACCTCGAAATCGACAAAAAAAAAAACAAAACAGAACAGCCCGCATGTTTTACAAATTTCACCTAACCGCGTCTCGGAAATAATACCGGGCATTTTTGCTTGCGACTTGCTGCAAACTATGCCGCAATCTCGAGCGCTACAGTATTGGACACTTACATGTCCTCTCGGTCGCAGTAATAAGATTACGCGTCGTTTGATTTCATCCAAGCTTTTCTCTTTTATCGGACTATCTGGAGCGTGCTCCGCAGTCCGTTTCTATTTGCCGACGTTATAATCTAACATGGTCGCCAACCCGTGAAGTTCGCTCTCTCTCTCTCCCTCTCTCTCCTTCTTTCTCTCTCTTTCTTTTTCTCTTGCTTTCTCTCTCTCTCTCTCTCTCTCTCTCTCTCGAAAACGTGGAAACGAATCGCCCGGCGAGCTTTCTGCGTTATTCATTCGACGCCGGGGCAAAGACTCACGCTCGACCGCACCCGTAAATTATTTCCGGGCGAAACGAAGTAGTTGAAATACGTACAACCCGCATGAAATCCCATTTTTCTTATCAAATACGAGTCCACGCGATTCTGCAGGACTGCAAATATAACCGTGGATAACTGCTTGCCAAACACTCATTCCGTTGCCGATAAGACACGCCGATATCATCTCAATTAGCACTCGTCGCGTCAAGAAAAGTCGCGTGAAAAACAACAAAATTGGTAGTTTAAATACAGGGGAAAAGAACTATCAACCGCGATACGATCAACGAAATGATACGCCGCGTATGTTGAGTGCAGGATTGTCCGGCTTGTCATTCCGCGAATAGACGGTACAGCCTCGATGCATGCTCTGCGATAATATCGACCACCGCATAAAAGTGTATTATATATAAATATATATATGTATATATAATAAATAGTATATATATATATATATATACGCGAGCGCGATTTCTGCTTCTTCGAGGAAACGCTCGGGAATCTCTCGGAAACTTTAGAGCGGTCCGAGTGTGTAGAAGGTGTCGGGTCAACTGGCACGAATGCACTCTGGACTTTTGAGGTCGACGGCACGTTTTCATCCGAGAACTCGAATCCTCAAAGCGGCATACTACCGTCAGAGTTTCGCGGCAATAAAGAGACCGAGGCTGTTAAAAAGAGACTCACCTTAAGAAGGATAGGAAATAAAACACACATGAACTTTCTCTCTTTTTCTCTTTTTTTTTTAAATGTTCAAAACCCTTTAAATTTCATATATCAAAGACTAATGCGCGATTGTCCAGAAAAACAAATTACTCATCTAAAATATAAACGTAAGTTCTCAACGGATAAAGAAAGTCGCGAGTGTAAATCTTTTTCTTTTAATTTTCAATTTCATGAAAACGCGATAAAACAGCTAAAATTGATAACTAAATAAGAGATACATACGGGGCGCGTTAAGTGATCGAAAGCGCGATGCATCAAGCGTCCAATATGTGTGGCGAGACAAGTGTCGCCTTAAACGGCTGACGCATAAATCTTCGCTTATCCTTTCAGCCGTGTGTCAGCGTAAGCGGTGCATTTTCGCGCGTGCATAAACCGCTCGCGGTTCGAGAGTGGTGGCAACAATGAAGGATGGGATGTAGGGCCGCGTGATACAAAGGCAGTCGCGCGCGTCACTGGCGATCCGGATCGTTAAAGCCTCGTCTTTTGCCGACGACGAGACGAATGCGGTTCGCGACGCCGGCGTTCTCGTGTCCGGTAAACGGATTATGGATGCGTTCCACTTCCGATAACGCGCGAAACGTGCGGAGGCGTGTTTAGCGCCGTTCTCGCTCTCTCTCTCTCTCTCCCTCTCTCTTCCTTCTTTCTCCTCTCGCCCAACACCCAAGGCTGCACCTTTTCTCGATCCCCCTGTGCCCCGCCCTCGCGTATCCGCGGCCGCACACCTCGTCGAAGTTGGCAACAGCATCTGGAGCGTTAAAGGTGGATGAGCGATGTACCGGTGTCTTGCGACGTGATGGATCGTCCAATACCAGCCAATATGCAGTATTGCACGTGGAGTGGCAAACTGGTATCCATGCATCAAATCGGAGAGGGTGGAGAGAGTACAGGCAGGGGCCAAGGTACGTACAGAGGGAAGATGGAAGTTTCGTGTGCTTTACACGACACGCCGCTGCGCACACTATCTCGTATGCTCGGTCGCGTCCGTCGTGGTCAGAGAACGGTTCTTGCCGATCCGTTCTTGGTGGTACGACCATAAGGCGCATCTCCGACTGCATGGGTTACGTGTGTATATACGTACCATGTATGTACAGACGTGTGTACATACGGTGGTACATATGTACACGTAGTACGTATACACAGAATCTACTACGTCTACACGGTAAGAACGGCGCGGATGCCGGCGCTGCGAGCTACGTGGTCGTGCCATGTGTTCGGAACGTCAGGCAACGCCAGACACGTTTCTCGAGACGGGGTTTTTGCCCGTCTTATTTCATCCCGACGTATACGACCCGTGCACCAAAAGCGTATTCACTTTTCTGTTTAACGGATTGTCCTTCGGGACCGATTCGACGAATGTTTGCGAAAGAAAAGAAGAGAAAGAGAGAGAGAGAAAGAAAGAAAGAGAGAAAGACCGACTATACGCGTATATATATAAAAGAACGCGCGCTAAATAATGTACGAAATGACAGCCGGACGTCTGTCTGGACCGTCTCATGTGAAATACATGCTCGACCTGTCGCGCGTGTAATTTCACGTGACAGTAATTTGATTTCCTGTCGCGCCGACTTTCGAGTGGCGATTAATTGGGTCACTCGTCTCTCTCTAATTTTCATATGACATAACAATAATAATAATAACAACAATAATAACAATAACAACACATACGGTTTTGTAAAGCGCGAGAATAATGTCAGCTTACCGAAACGTCAAAGTGGTGAAAGGTCGATAACTCTTGTGACTGTTGATGCTCTCCATCGGCGTGCCCCAGAAATCGTCGTTGAGCACGCTACTCCACGACGCCTCGCCGATCACGTCTCTGTTCCGCACCACCGCCGGTATGTCGTCGTGCACGAAGTCGCAATCGAGCGCGTTAAAGTAACAGCCGATCGCGACGACCGCGACCAACGCGTAGATGCACCATCCGGGTGGATCGTTCGTCTCGACCTCATTGTATCCGTTGCGCACGTTCTTCTTAACCGAGTGATAGCAATAGGTGGAGCCGTTGTTGTAAACGCGTTGACGCTTCATGTTGCCCGGCACCGCTCGGTACGCGCGGAATATAAGCTCTCACGTTCGTTCGTTCGCGAGCCCGAAACTCAATCACTATCATGAAGTCGCGAAGTCACTTCTCTGGAGCACCCGTTACCTTTTGCGCGATTGATCGTTTCGCGCGATGTAACTGCACCGCTGGCGATCGAAATCAGCTGACTGTCGCATTTCTATAAGCGAGCGCTCGGGGGAAAAAGAGTTCACGATCAAGCGCACTGCGTTGCCTTTCAGCAGTTTACGGGTCGCTGCTAAGCTCCACTTTGAATCGCAATATTTCACGGCGCGCAGTATATTTCATAAGAGTACGGTGGAAAAGTTAGTGAATAGTCCCGCGAGTTATATAGGCAAGTCGCGAAGCTATTTTTCGAGGAAGCACCGGTCGAGTGAAGAGAAACGCGGTATCCGCGCGCGCGGCTAAACGACAACGCGATGTGTCGCGGTTGGTACCTCGCGTTGGATTCTTCCATTCAGGTCGACGATGATACCCCGAACGTTTGTCCGTTTTGCGATGAGCTTGATAAATGACTGCGGGAACTCATTATTTACCTGGCGCCAACCGACCTTGGATTCGGTGCTCTCTCTCTCTCTCTCTCTCACTCTCGACGAAGAGAAGAAACGGCGCGTTTCCGCGCGCGCACACGCCACCCGCTTCTCAAGAGGCGAGTAATGGTTCTCGCGTGGACTCTCCTCTGTGAATTGTCCCCGTGGGAATTCACTCGGGGGGAGGTGGTAGTTTTTACGTAACCGCGTAACGACGTAACAGCTCGTTACCGGTCGGTGTCGGATCGACCTGTCTCTTCGTCCGCAAATCACTGATCCGCGGGGATCGTTACGTATTCGTCCCGGAGGATCAAACCGGCGATATACTTGCGAGTCTCACTTGTCGTTTATAAGTGACATTAACGCGACCGCTTTGCAGGTTGCGGCTTGCTTCGCGACGAATCGTGTATATATTTCGCATACTCAATATATCTGTCTACTCTGACAAATTTCCCCGCAATGTAAAATACGGGAACGTCGTATACCTAGTGTATTTTGGATTTTACGTTGCGCCTTGTATTCCGATTGTTGCGATTACTGATCTTATTGTGTTACGTATGTGTATTATTATATAAAACACATAAATTATACTGTTCACAAAAAAAAAAAAATCGTCGCGCAAGTACACGGTGAGAAATTGCTCGATGAAAGATAATGAAGAAACGACCTTGCGATTATTTCTACCGTCCCAGATTGGCGAGTCCTTCGTCTTAAGAGCGCGAAGTTCCTCGAAGATGGATCTCGACTTTTTTTGCTGCATCAAGAAAATCCCGCGGAATTATGGAGAGCAGACTGCGGCGAAAGGACGGCTCTATGACCCAGATATTCGTTAGCTCGGGTCACCTCCGTCGCCACAATTTTGCTGTGCATATAGATCTATACAAGCGGCTCGTATCTCGGGGGCACGACTTGAAATCCTTCGTGGCAGCAGTCTCACCCCCGAACGAACAGCTCTGCCTACCGCTTTTCTACCTCCTTCCCCGTCGCCACCGCCACTTGGCCGCTGCTTCTTCTTCTCTTCTTCTTTTTCCCCGTCTTCTGGCTTTGCCTCTCGCGCCGTCGAATTCAATCTCGAGACTAGTGTCGCGATAATTTTTTCCTCGACTTGGGATCTTCAGGATTGAACTTCCGGCGATCTCACTGGCGCGATACGTGCTGCTCCGCCTCCGCGACGAGATGACACTTGAGTGAAAAATCGGGCGTTTTCTGCGCTCAAGTGGCAGCCAGTAAACGTTCCCTCAACGTTCACCTCGGTCATCCACGTCGAGAGGATCACACTCGGTAACTTTTGGAGAAGAAATAAACTTCGCGCGATAAAAAACTACGAACGATTTCTAACTGAAGATACGTGATGGATACGCTTGATCGTTAATTTTATCCAAGTGTTTTATTTAAATCATAGATTTTATTGTGTGTTCTCTTTTTAGTATTTCTCTATCATTTATGTAATTTGCGGTATCGGAAATACCACATTTGGTTTTAGAGACGCTTAAAATACAATTGAAAAAGCGAAATCGTTATTTCACTGATTATCGGAAGTGACAACAACGCGATTATACGACGGAATAAATACGCAGTCACCTCCCGATGACGATCTATCGTCGTTATGTCGCTATCTATCAGGCACTCTGCCGATCGACAGAATGCGCAGATCGGTACGCAGCGCGCATCGTCATCGGAACGTCACAGATCGCGAGAGCGACGTCGAGCTCGAGCGGGTCGTCGCGACGACGATAAGCGCGAGACTAAGGGACGACGGCATCCGCCCGGTTATATAGCCGACGCACTCTGACCCGCAAAGCCGCGCCCGCGCATGAGCCACCCCCGGCGAGTTTCCCTCCTGCCTGCTGCATCCTCGTCGTTGCGCCTACCCTTTCTTCTTCTTTCCCATGCGTCGGCACCTGCGCAACCTTGGATTTCACTGACGTCACGTTGTTTACCTATGGTTTACCTGCCAAAACATCATCTCGAGGATGCAGCAAGATGAAGTGGTCGGAGTTCAAACTGTTGGATAAATGTTGCTTATCAAGAGCTTTTGCGATGCGGAAATTAGTAGCTGTTAATTAAACTGATTTAAAATATGCAAGAGAGAAAGAGAGAGAGAGAGAGAGAGAGAGAGAGGGGAAATATGTTTGTTAAATGATTGGTAACAATTCTCTTAAAAAATAATTAAGTCTATTAATAAAATGCAATACTTAAGTTAATTGCTCCGTTCTTTGCGGTACTCAGAGTTCACTCGATTTATGCCTTTAATTATTAAAGGCGGGTTTTTTGTATAAATTAAACGCTACGTTATGCATTAGTTAATAGCACTCGAATTGGCTCTTACGAGCCAAAGATGATATTCGGTTCCAATTATTTATTATCTACATTTCCCTCTGGATATCTTGAATCTAACAATATAACGGATCGTGGCGCGCGAATCAGTGAACGTAATGACGATACGAGCTCGTTACCGACGATGATGATACGATAACGAGCCCGTAGTGGCGAAGTGATGCTGCGTTGTATGATTGAATTTGGTTACACCGTTCCGTCGAAGCGTTCGAGCATACATCAAATTGAAATTACATCAAGACATAATTAGAATTCAATTTTAATTATTGCCTGAAATAATTATCAGAAATAGAACAATTAACGTAATAATTTATGCTGTGTAATTGTAAGAAAACGAAGTTTACAATAATGCATACGTATTTTGAAGAGATATATTACAATTATATTTTTTACAATTCGCAAAACTTATGACAAGACACCGTTTCAATGAAATTTCGTAAAACAAAAGTTTCAATGAAATTTCGTAAAACAAAGTTACTTTTTGGTACAGAAGCAATTTTCCCCGGTTGTGTTTTTTTTTTTATATATAAGATTAAGTAAGATTGAGATAAGTAGAAAAAAAATTATTTTTAAACTATTAAAGATACCAACGGCAAAGATAGATCAGGATTTTTCGTCGCCAGTAATAAGCAAGTTTCTCCAAGGAAAGTTATAATTGAGCGAGAGATGCCGGCATTCTTCCAACGGGAAACTTAATATTAGCGACATGACTGTCGCTCGAGTAATTCGCATAATACACCAGGAGCGCGCGCAATTAATGATCATTTAGTTGGATGGTGGCGAGAGTAGCCGTCAGTGGCACGATTCGCGAGCGAGCGGGTAACTTTGGACCGCGCCAGCAACGCTGAGAACTTCCGTATGAATCCATTTTCAAACTACACAAGAATTTTTAATTACGACCCTATAGAACGAAAAACGCCACTTACGTGTCAGGTTTACTGGCTTGCCGCGCTCAAAGCGTCGTGGGAACTGCTTCCCGCACGAAGCTTCTTTGTGACTTTTTTTGCCGCCGCGAAAAACGAACTGCCATTTTATTTGCGATAATTTATTTTGCACTCTTTATTTTTCCTCGGTTCAAATTTGTCTATAAACGCACGACATATTGCGTATCTCACGTTTTACGTAAATGATCTTAAGCCTCGTGTACTTTCAATGGCATTTTGACTGAGAGTGCGACGCCAATCTTTCGCAAATCTCGTGCGCGCGCGCACACACACACACACGTACGACGACCTAACATCGGAGAATGCTTTAAAAAAATCGATATAACCTCTTCGCGACGAGATTTCGCTAAAGCGCGCGAGAAAGGTGCGCTCAAACCGTTTCTTTGTGGACTTTGCGTTGAAGTATAAATTGGTTTTATGCTGCTGCCGCGGAAGTTTCTAACTGGAAACTTATAGTTGCGGAACAAACGTCTGTAGACGGCACTGAAATATAGTGTTCAGACGCTCGTTGCGCCTGAATATTCAGCGGCTTTTCGTTCGCTCGCTCGCTGCCTACTTCGTTATACCCGTCCGATTAACGCTTGCCGTCGCCTGACCGTATTTAATAATGCACCTAACCAACGACGGCGACGCCCCACGAGAGCAAGGTCTGCTAACGACCGTGAAAAGGTGTCGGTGCTGTTGTAAGGGCGAGCGCTACGAAGGAATTGTCCACACAACTGCCTTCGCAGACTACAAGGCAAGAAAAGGGAGAAAAAAAAAACACTACACCGACAACAAGTTCGTTTAAAATGTAGATAAAACCAAAACGTGTTAATCCATGATTCTCCAACGATGTAAAACTTGTCATTTTTTTCGATTGTACGTGAGAATGTTTGTTTTTTTTTTACGAGTTTACTGTAGAGAAAAAAAGATTCACGATCGATTCCCAAGACACGACCGTGTATTCACCTTTTGCTTTCCACGTGCGCTTTTTATTTATTAAACGCCTTGGCGTGTATCGACCAATTGCTTGGCGCCTTTCTTTCTCTCACACATTCTGGGGGGGTTCTTTCTTTTTTCCTCCCGTCAGAGACGTAAACATCAGCCAATAGGTACGGCCAACACAGGCGCCTTTCGTATTCTCGCGCGGTAGTTCCGACGAAAACAACTCAGACACAGTCCGATCGTCCGCCGGTATCTCATTTAAATTTCCCGCGTAAAGTATTCATTGTTCCTCGCGTCTTGTTATCGCGCCGCACGACCTGGTTCTTGTCTATTTTATCGGCGAATCGTGAAATCGCTTTTCGGTTATCTTCATCTCGTGAAATATTTCGACTCTCGGCGCGAGATGCTATCTGCGACTCAAGAGCGGAATGTTTCCGCGAGAAATCACATACTGGATACTACCTACTCGACATATGTACTTTTATATATATATATATATGTATATATATGTGTATATATATGTATATATATTACGTGCCGTATCGATCGACGAGGAAATCTTAAACGCGAGCCGACGCGAGAAATAATGCCTATAATTCGTACGTAACGCAAAACACGCGAGCGCAAAAGCGAGAGCCCCGCACGGAAATCCAACTGAGCGCATCGATATCTCGAAGCTCGCGTAACCCTTCCGCGGACACGTTCGGTCGCGAAATGGCATCGCGTCCGAAATCTCGACACGAAAATCGCTAGCGACCGGTCACTCGTACAGTCCCCCGGCGGGACCGCGACTGCTGCGAAAGCTGTTAACGCCACTAATGAATTCGGACGGCGCGGTTTCATCTAAACACCTCCTGGATTTCGCGCGTCAGAGAGACAGTTTCGCCGGTCACAATAGAAACTGCGCGGACAATCAAAGGTGGCGGACCTCGGTCGGATCGGACAGAAGATAGTGACACGTGCGGAGCGTCGAGGGAGGAATGTATTTAATTAATGCACTCGAGCAACGGGTACACGCGGCATAGAGAAGGAGAGAGAGAGAGAGAAAGAGAGAGCTCGCGTAGCGCGAGCACGTACGCGACAAACTTACACGTAGCGCGTCACGTGTGCGTGCGTGTGCGGCGGGACCGAGCTGTCGAATTCACCGCGTAACTCGTTTGGATTTCGTACTGGCGACCGGTGTCCGACAGTCGCTATTCCCGCGACGAAAGACAGCGTCCGCAATTTCCGGCGACGTCTCGCTCCCGCGCCCGCGTGTGCATTGTGAGATTCTGGACAAGAGAGAACAGCCAAAATCTGGAACAAAATTTCGCGCTCTTCCGGAACGCGGCTCTCTTTCTCTATCTCTGTATATCTATCTCTCTCTTTCTTCCCTTTTTCGCTCCCCCGCGTTTCCAACCAAAGTAGGCGGGGTCGCGAGCTTACGAGAGAAGGGCGTAGACGTTCCCGAGGCTACAACTGTCGGAGGAATCTCGCCGACGAGAGCCGAGCAAGGTAGAACGTAATCGGGATCTTGCCCGCCACCCGACACCCTTCACGGTACTACACGGGAAACTTGGAATGATTTCGAGCGTAGAGTTTCGGGCTCCCCTCTCCAGGAGTATAGAGTGACAAGGGAGGAAGAGAACGAAGAGAGAAGAGAACTCCTTGCACATTGTACGTAGAAATATTACCTAATGTTTCGAGGTATCGCGCGCTGCGAGCTTATAGTGATTATATGCTTTGGAGAGAAAATATTGCGGAAACTTCCGACTCTCTCGCCTTTTGAACTCCGGGAAACACTTTCTTGCTTAATTCGCTTTATTGCACGCGCGTGACTTTATTTTACATCACAAATTATTGCGATCGTAATATTCACTTTTTTTTTTTTTTCCAAATGTTCATGTCTGTGCTTTCAACTTTATCGATCAGAAGGACAATTCGCGCCGCGCCGCGATTTACCGAACACGAAGGGCGGACAGGAGATCGACAGGAGAAAGAAGGCCAGGTGGATGTAATGAGAAGTGAGATCTTTCCGCGTCAGCTGGAATTCTCGCAGAACGTGCTTCCGTCCAGGTTGGCGAAGAAATACACGCGAGAACTACGCGAGTACGATTTTAATTACGAGCTTATTCCGGCTTGATTCCGAGAGAAAGATATCGGAAGGAAGTTACACGAGATTACCTGAAAAATCGAAAAAACGCGTTCCACTTTTCGCGAGCATGTTCGAATAACGCGCACGTTAAGTCGGTCGCGCTCGGTAAGTCTTGCTAGATCGCATTTTCGTTTTCGAATCGAGCGTGTTGAAGCGTAGATCTCCGCGCGCGGAGATTTTTGCGCTCTCGTATTCGAACACGGGCCCCCGGTCGTCGCTCGATCAATATAATCGCATTGGTAAACGGATCGGCGTGAAGCACCGATCGCGTTCGGACGGCTTTTGGTGGCGCGTGGACTTACGAGGTGGCTTACGCGCTTGCTAACGGAGCACTCCGGTAATTTCGGTTTCTCGAGAGCTGACCAAACAAGGATATC